ACTGCTGTAAGTGACACTCGAGTGAAAACGGTAAATAGCCCGCTTCCTGTAAACGGATACACCCGTGCCAGACACCGGACCGACAGGGGTTTTTAGCCACGTGCGCGACGGCACGAGGCTCGTTACCCCGTTTGAACCTCTTTCGCTGCCGTGTTAATCGTGTGCTACTGTGTGTGTGCGCGCGCGCGCGCGCGCGCGTGTGTGTGTGTGTGTGTGTGTGTATCGTTTAACCCTTTTCTGCTGACATTCGCGATGGAATTTCTGCGTAGACATCCCTTTTATGAAGAGTCCGTCTCCCCTCTATTGTCTGTTTTACTCGTGCTTTTGAGACTTTTAACCCTTTTGCAGTTCAGTCGAGGGACTGCTGGCCAATGTGACGTGTCAAAACTGTTTAATGTATTGTAAATACACTGTTCAAAGCAATTAGAGTATGTGAGCCTTTGTTTGCGGTAATGGAGTAAGTCAATTTTTAATAAATTTTATTTCACATCGTATGAAAGTAGCTTTAACTTTATTTTATCGTGTGCATAAATGCTGTATGTCTCTAGTCTCATTGATGGCTCTACAGGTAGTGTTGAGTATATCATCTCCGTATGAGTTGATGTTGATCTGTATCGATATAATTATCCAGGATATACATACTCAGTGTAAGCATCATACTGAATTATCGTGTCATGATACAGTTAATGATTATACTGAGTATAATCAGTTATTTTCGGATATACATATGTACTCATATGAGGATATCAACTCAGAAGAGGGTTTACAAAAGATATTTTTAAACCTCTAAATATCTCAGAAGCATATTTACTGACTCACACCATCACTGCATTATCATTTATGCTGATTATGTATTGTAATCACTGTACCCGTCAATATGACGTATACCTACATAATCTCTGAAAAGGCATTTATACAAATATAATTGGATGTTAGTCGTATTAGTATTATACGGAAAAAATATCGACTTATCAAAGCTGCAATATCACTTATACTGTTTCTTTCGCTTGGTGAGTGCAACAGGACTGCCCACATCGGCGATCCTCTAATTCTTTTGAGCATTATATCTATGTATATGAACGGGCACAGTTTCTTCGTTTTATACGTTACTTTCCTTATGCAATAGTTGTCTTCACGTCAGTCTCTCTTGTATTTCGTCTAAAGTGTAAAGTTTCTAGAGTTTTAAAATTGTAAAGTCTACAGTATTGTGAATGTTTTTATCGTAAAGAAGACTAGTGTAGAATATAAAAGACAGTTTTTGATCATACTTCAGTATTTTATTTGACTGCAAAGGGGTTAAATATTTTTAGACTTTTCAAACAGTACGATTACGAACTGAGAAGATTTGCAGTTTTGAATTTGATCTAGCTAAAATACTCTATTACTTCAAAAATCTTGGCATAAATGAATTGATTAATCAAGAATTTTGAAACATAGGACTGTTTCTAACTAAATAACGATCTTTAATTTTCGCTGTACTTTTATGAGATGTTCACTAATACATTATAGAAGTTTTTTTCGGCAAATAGTTTAATTGTAATAGTAACTCGAGAGTGCTCAGAAGTATATACATATATATAATTTAAAAAGATCCAAATATTGTCATGTTTGATGAAATTTTTAGTAACGAAAAATCAAGGCTTTTGAAGTTAATATGTTCGAGATCTTTTAGATTTATCCTTTCTGTTTCTTTCGTAATATACCATATAACAAAAGGTTAACTGTTTAAAAGCCTATAACTTTACTCCAAATTACAGCACGGGTCTAATGAAAATTTGTGTACTTCGTCGTCCTTTATGATACATAAATATGTAGCTCGATGATTTTGTATCACTTTTTCAAAATATGTATTTATAAATATAATGTATTATAATAATGTCTAGATGTTAAAACTTTGGTATATTTTTTAGACTTTCAATCACTACGTTATTGGAAAACGTTTCAATAGTTCTACAGTTTCTATATTTGATTTGAGATAACTTGACAGTTTAATGTTTACAGGCCCATCCTTGTCAATGATTTAAACTTATGACGCTTCTTTCTTCAAATTTATAACCTAATACACTGGATGTTGAATGACACTCGGCAGCCTGAATCGAGGCCACTGTAGCATCGAACAATTTCTATTCCTTATCCAATATTAACAGACATACACGCTTATTAGTATCATAAACTTTCATGTAATTCCTACTCCCTTATAATAAAAATGCTCCAATCTAACAAATATACCGATTACCTAATATATATTTATATATATTATTATATATTATTTTATATATATTAGATATGTATT